CCTTCAATCGGGTTTCCGTGCTGCCCATAGCACAGAAACTGCCCTGGTCAAGGTCACGAATGACATCTTGACCATCTGTGACCAGGGCTCCCTCTGGCTCCTCGTCCTCTTCGACCTATCGGCAGCATTCGATACGGTCGACCACGCTATCCTCCTCCACCGCTTGTCCTCCCGCCTAAACCTTCAAGGCCCTGTCTTTGAGTGGTTTAGGTCGTACCTCTCCCACCGTCTTCACTTTGTCTCCACTAATGGTTTTTTCTCCAGCCCCCGCACTGTCTCGTGTGGTGTCCCTCAGGGCTCTGTCCTTGGTCCCCTCCTCTTCACCCTCTATATGCTCCGATTTGGTGACATCATCCGCAGACATGGGGTTAACTTCCACATGTATGCGGATGACACCCAACTCTACCTTTCCTCCTCTACCCTCAACTCCACGACCACCGATGTCCTGACAGCTGCCTGTCCGACATTGAGTCCTGGACGAGAGATAACTTTCTCCAGCTCAACGTGCGCAAAACTGAAGCCCTCCTCATTGGCTCACGTCAGCGCCTCCGCACCTCAGGCGCTGACAGCATCAGCATCCAAGGCTGCACTCTCCACCTCTCAAAGCCAGTCAGGAACCTCGGTGTTACGTTCGACCCTGAGTTGTCCTTTCTCCCTCATATCTGCGCCACAACTGGCACCGCCTTCCATCACCTCCGGAATGTCGCCAGACTACGGCACTATCTCACCCCTCACGCTGCTGAAACTCTGGTCCACGCCTTTATCACCTCAAGGCTGGACTATGGGAACTCTCTCCTCGCCGGCCTTCCCGGCACCTCCCTCCACAAGCTGCAGGTCATTCAGAACTCTGCAGCTCATGTACTGTCCCGCACCAGGCTTCGCGACCACATCACTCCCACTCTCGCTCGCCTCCACTGGCTCCCCATCCCCCAGAGGATCGAATTCAAGATCCTCATCCTCACCTACAAGGCCATTCACGGCCTTGCTCCCTCCTACCTCTCCGACCTACTGTCCCCCTACCTACCTGCCCGTACCCTCCGTTCCTCTGGCTCCGGTCTGCTCCACATCCCCCGCCCCAACCGCCCTACCAGCGGTGGCCGCGCCTTCAGCCTCTCAGCCCCTAGGCTCTGGAACTCTATCCCCCAGTGCCTTCGCTGCCTCCTCCCTTTCCTTCTTCAAGGCCGGTCTCAAGACCTTTCTCTTTGACCGTGCCTTCAACTCCCCTCTCGACTCTCTACCCCCTCCTCGCTCCCTCCCTTCCTCCCCTCACCCTGACCATTTCCCCCCTGCTCGGGTCATGACCCAACTGTACAGCACCTTGGGACGGCCTCCCGACGTGAAAGGCGCTCAATAAATGGAATCTTGTTGTTGTTGTTGTTTTCAGATGGTGATAATTTCTTCAAAAAAATCAATAATAAATTGGTCACTTCAATTCACGACTGTTTGTGGGACACTGCTGTGAGCAATTGGCTGCCACATTTCCCCCACAAAATATATAGTCAATGCACTTTATAATGTAATCTGTGAAGCACTTTGAGACATCTCAAAGACGTGATAAGGAGCTATGTTAAATGAAACGATTATTATTATTAAGTGAAGATTTACATGCACACACTGAGTGAAGATTAAACACACATTAAGTGAAGATTCACACACATACAGCACTGTGTGTGTGAAGATTACACACACACACTAGTTGGAGTTTCACACACGCAGATTGAAAATTCACACACACACACTGAGTGAAGATTACACACACACACGGTGAGGATTCACATACACTGAATGAAGATTACACACACACTGTTTGAAGATTACACACACACATTGTTTGAAGATTACGCACACACACTGTTTGAAGATTACACAAACAAATTGAAGATTACACACACACACAAATTGAAGATTACACACAACAACAACAACAACAACAAGATTCCATTTATAGAGCGCCTTTCACGTCAGGAGGACGTCCCAAGGCGCTGCACAGTTGGGTCATGACCCGAGCAGGGGGGAAATGGTCAGGGTGAGGGGAGGGAAGGGAGGGAGAGAGGAGGGGGGAAATGGTCAGGGTGAGGGGAGGGAAGGAGCGAGGAGGAGGAAGAGAGTCGAGAGGGGAGCTGAAGGCACGGTCAAAGAGAAAGGTTTTGAGACCGGCCTTGAAGGAGGAAAGGGAGGAAGCAAGGCGAAGGCACTGGGGGATGGAGTTCCAGAGCCTCGGGGCTGAGAGGCTGAAGGCCCGACCACCGATAGTAGGGCGGTTGGGGCGGGGGACGTGGAGCAGACCGGAGCCAGAGGAACGGAGGGTACGGGCAGGTAGGTAGGGGGATAGTAGGTTGGAGAGGTAGGAGGGAGCAAGGCCGTGAATGGCCTTGTAGGTGAGGATGAGGATCTTGAAATCAATCCTCTGGGGGATGGGGAGCCAGTGGAGGCGAGCGAGGGTAGGAGTGATGTGGTCCCGAAGCCTGGTGCGGGACAGTACACGAGCTGCAGAGTTCTGAATGACCTGCAGCTTGTGGAGGGAGGTGCCGGGAAGGCCGGCGAGGAGAGAGTTCCCATAGTCCAGCCTTGAGGTGACAAAGGCGTGAACCAGGGTTTCAGCAGCGTGAGGGGTGAGGTAGTGCCGTAATCTGGCGATATTCCGGAGGTGATGGAAGGCGGTGCCAGTTGTGGTGCGGATGTGAGGGAGAAAGGACAGCTCAGGGTCGAACAAAACGCCGAGGTTCCTGACTGGCTTTGAGAGGTGGAGAGTGCAGCCTTGGATGCTGATGGTGTCAGCGCCTGAGGTGCGGAGGCGCTGACGTGAGCCAATCAGGAGGGCCTCGGTTTTTCGCACGTTGAGCTGAAGAAAGTTGTCTCTCGTCCAGGACTCGATGTCGGACAGGCAGGCTGTCAGGACATCGGTGGTCGTGGAGTTGAGAGTAGAGGAGGAAAGGTAGAGTTGGGTGTCATCCGCATACATGTGGAAGTTAACCCCATGTTTGCGGATGATGTCACCGAGGGGGAGCATATAGAGGGTGAAGAGGAGGGGACCGAGGACAGAGCCCTGAGGGACACCACATGAGACAGTACGGGGGGTGGAGGAGAAGCCATTCGTTGAGACGAAGTGAAGACGGTGGGAAAGGTAAGAGCTAAACCATTCAAGGACAGTGCCTTGAAGGTTGAGGTGGGAGGACAAGCGGTGGAGTAGGATAGCGTGGTCGACCGTATCGAATGCTGCCGATAGGTCGAGGAGGACGAGGAGACAGAGGGAGCCCTGGTCACAGATAGTCAGGATATCATTGGTGACCTTGACCAGGGCAGTTTCTGTGCTATGAGCAGCACGGAAACCTGACTGAAGGGGTTCAAAAAGAGAATGGGTGGAGAGGAAAGAGCGCAGTTGGGAGGCGACAACTCTTTCCAAGACCTTGGAGAGAAAGGGGAGGTTGGAGATGGGCCGGTAGCTTGATAGCTGCGACGCATCAAGGGAGGGTTTTTTCAGGGTGGGCGTGATGATGGCAGTTTTTAATGGAATGGGGACAGAGCCAGAGGAGAGGGACAGGTTTATGATGTCAGTGATGTGTGGGGCAAGAAAATGGAGCTGGGAGATAAGGAGTGGAGTGGGGATGGGGTCAAGGGAGCAGGTGGTTGGTTTTAGGGATAGGATGAGTTCAGTGACAGAGGGTGGGGAAACGGGTACGAAGGTGTGTAGGGGAGGATGGGTAGGAGTCGGAGTGTGGGAGGGAAGGGGTGGGTGGTGGGTGGAAGTTGAAGGGGAAGTGACCGCGGAGCGGATTCCCTTGATCTTGGATTCAAGGAAATCCAGCATCTCCTCGCAGTGAAGGTTGGAGGAGATGACCTGCGCGGGGTGGCGGGGGGGACGGAGGAGTCGGGATGTGGTGGAAAACAGTAGCCTGGGGTTGTTCTTCGCCTCCAGGATTATCCTGGAGTAGAAGGACGACTTGGCCGAGGCTAGAGTGGAGCGGTAAATTTTGAGGAGGTCCAGCCAGATTTGTCGGTGGACCGTTAAGCCGGATTTGACAAAGGTGCGCTCAGCAGCCCGCACCTGGCATTTCAGTGAGCGGAGGTGGGTGGTGTACCAGGGGGAGGAGCGGGAGTAGGAGACAGTGCGGGAAGTGATGGGGGCAAGAGTATCGAGTGTGGTGGAGAGGATATTGTGGAGGAGGGAGAGAGGAGAAGAGGGTCGGTGAGGGTTGAAGGCCAGAGGGAGAGGAGTTCAGAGGACTCCAAGGCATCGGTTAGGGATTGTGGGGGTAACTTCTTCCAAGGGCGGTAGAAGATGGTGGTGGGTCTGGTGGAGGTGGGGAGGGGGGTGGAGGTGGTGAAGGAGATGAAGTAGTGGTCGGAGATGGCCTTGTCGGTAATAGTGACATCCGAGACACTGAGGCCCCGGGTGATCACCAAATCGAGTGGGTGGCCGTGACTGTGAGTGGGGGAGTTTATGTGTAGGGAAAGGTTGAGTGAGGAGAGCAGGGAAGAGAAGTCTGTGGAGATGGAGCAGGAGGGGGTGAAGTGTAGGTTAAAGTCGCCCAGGATGATGAGGCGATCAGAGGAGAGGCAAAGAGATGTGAGGAGTGTTGAAATGTCAGAGATGAAGGTGGGAGAGGTTTTAGGGGGCCGGTAGAGGAGGAGGATTTTAAGGGAGAGGAATGAGGGGTGGGAGAGGGTGAGGTGCTCGAAGGAGGGGAAAGAGCCAGAGGAGTAGGGGGATAGGGCAAGTGGTGTCCTTGAGATAAGGGCAACACCACCGCCACGGCGGTTGGGGCGGGGGATGTGGTGGGAGGTGTAGCCGGGTGGCGTGGCCTCCGTGAGGGGGAAGGTGTCGCCTGGGGTGAGCCACGTTTCTGTCAAGGCCATGATATCAACGTTCTCATCAAGGATGAGATCATTGATGACCAGGGCCTTGTTGCAGAGGGAGCGGACATTTTGCAGTCCGATGTGGAGGGAGCGGTTGACAGAAGGGTGTGTGGGAGGGGAGGGGGGTCCAGGTTGTGAGGCAGGGGTGGGGGAGATGGGGATGAGGGAGGAGAGGTTGACTCCCCGGGTCTGTGTCCGGGGTGGGTGACCAGTGTGGTGGGGGATGGGGCAGTCGGTGTGGCTGCTGCTGGACAGCCAACGCCGAGTGCCATGGTGAGCCCGGCGGAGGATTCCCAGGCTGGAACAGAGGGAGGTTGTGGGAGGGTCAAGTGGGGATAGAAGACGAGAGGGACGGAGAGAGAGGAGGAGAGAGCAGGAGAGATGCAGAGGGGGAGGGTTTGGGGGGAGAGAGGAGGGGGGAGGGAGGGAGGGGGTGAGGGGGCTCGGGTCAAAGCGGCAGCCATAGTGCGCACGCGGGGACCGGGAGCGAGCGGTCAGGTTGATGGCATTATCCCGTAGATTGGGGCATCGAACCCAACAGGACCATAGTGGGCTCTGATGTGAGCCCTGGGGGGGGGGGGGGGGGGGGGCGCGGAGGGTTTTTTTTTTTTTTTTGTGTGCGCGCGCACTCACCTGAAAACTAATCTATGACGTCGCAGTTCCCCCGCTCCGCCCCCACACCTCCCTCCACTGCCCCCCCCCCCGGGGCTGCACTCGCTCCGGCGTCGAGTTTAAGTACCTGGGTCAGTAGGCCCAGGCTCCTCCCCGCGCTGTCCTGCTGCCGCTCCCCGACTCACACTAGTTGAAGATTTCACACACACAAACAAACATACTCAGTGAAGATTTCACACACACACACACACAGACACACACATACACTAAGTGACGATTACACACACACATTCCAAAGGAAGATTTCACACAAACACACTAAGTGAAGATTTCACATACACACTAAGTGAAACTTTCACACACACCCCCACACACAAGAAGTGAAGATTTCATATACACATATTAAGTGAAGATTTCACACTGACACGAATTGAAGATTTCACACACACACACACTAATTGAAGATTTCACACACACACACACTAATTGAAGATTTCACACACACACTAATTGAAGATTTCACACACATACACTAATTGAAGATTTCACACACACACACACTAATTGAAGATTTCACACACACACACTAATTGAAGATTTCACACACATACACTAATTGAAGATTTCACACACACACATTAGGTGAAGATTCACACACATACTGAGTGAAGATTCAAACACACACTAGTTGGAGTTTCACACACGCAAGGCGAGGATTCACATACACTGAATGAAGATTACACACACACTGTTTGAAGATTACACACATACACTTTGAAGGTTACGCACACACACTGTTTGAAGATTACACACACACAAAGTGAAGATTTCACACACACACACACACACTGATTGCAGATTTCACACACACACACTAATTGAAGATTTCACACACACTCACACTAATTGCAGATTTCACACACACTCACACTAATTGAAGACTTACACATACTCAGACTAATTGAAATCTTTACACACACACTAATTGAAGATTTCACACAAACACACTGAGTGAAGATTTCACATACAAACACACACTAATTGAAGATCACCCACACACAGTAAGTGAAGATTTAACAGACACACACATTAATTGAAGATTTCACACACACACACTAATTGAAGATTTCACGCACACACATTAAGTGAAGATTCACACACATACTGAGTGAAGATTCAAACACACACTAGTTGGAGTTTCACACACGCAAGGCGAGGATTCACATACACTTAATGAAGATTACACACACACTGTTTGAAGATTACACACACACACTGTTTGAAGATTACGCACACACACTGTTTGAAGATTACACACACACACTGTTTGAAGATTACACAAACACACTAATTGAAGATTTCACACACACTAATTGAAGATTTCACATACAAGCACACACACACTAATTGAAGATTTCACACACACACACACTAATTGAAGATTTCACACACACACACTAATTGAAGATTTCACACACACACACTAATTGAAGATTTCACACACACACACTAATTGAAGATTTCACACACACACACTAATTGAAGATTTCACACATACACTAATTAAAGATTTCACACACACTAACGCAATAATTGAAGATTTCACACACACCAACACACATAAACACTAATTGAAGATTTCACACAAACACTAGAAGATTTCACACACACAAACAAACACACTCAGTGAAGATTTCACACACATACAAAAAGGCTAATAGAAGATTTCACGCACACAGACTGATTGAAGATTTCACACACACACTAATTGAAGATTTCACACACACAGACTAATTGAAGATTTCACACATACACTAATTAAAGATTTCACACACACTAACGCAATAATTGAAGATTTCACACACACCAACACACATAAACACTAATTGAAGATTTCACACAAACACTAGAAGATTTCACACACACAAACAAACACACTCAGTGAAGATTTCACACACATACAAAAAGGCTAATAGAAGATTTCACGCACACAGACTGATTGAAGATTTCACACACACACTAATTGAAGATTTCACACACACAGACTAATTGAAGATTTCACACACACACTAAGTGAAGATTTCACACTGACACGAATTGAAGATTTCACACACACACAAATTCAAGATTTCACACACACACACACTAAGTGAAGATTTCACACACACACTAATTGAAGATTTCACACAAACACTAATTGAAGATTTCACACACACAAACAAACATACTCAGTGAAGATTTCACACACACACACAGACACACACATACACTAAGTGACGATTACACACACACATTCCAAAGGAAGATTTCACACAAACACACTAAGTGAAACTTTCACACACACCCACACACACAAAAAGTGAAGATTTCATATACGCATATTAAGTGAAGATTTCACACTGACACGAATTGAAGATTTCACACACGCAAAGTGAAGATTTCACACACAAACACACACAAGAAGTGAAGAATTCATATACACATATTAAGTGAAGATTTCACACTGACACGAATTGACGATTTCGCACACACACATTAAGTGAAGATTTCACACACACACACTAAGTGAAGATTTCACACAAACACTAAGTGAAGATTTCACAGACACACACACACTGATTGTAGATTTCACACACACAAACTAATTGAAGATTTCACACACACACACTAATTGCAGATTTCACACACACTCACATTAATTGAAGACTTACACATACTCAGACTAATTGAAATCTTTACACACACACTAATTGAAGATTTCACACACACACTAATTGAAGATTACACACACACCAATTGAAGATTACTGACACACACACTAATTGAAGATTTCACACACACAATAATTGAAGATTTCACACACACACACACTGATTGTAGATTTCACACACACAAACTAATTGAAGATTTCACACACACACACTAATTGCAGATTTCACACACACTCACATTAATTGAAGACTTACACATACTCAGACTAATTGAAATCTTTACACACACACTAATTGAAGATTTCACACAAACACACTGAGTGAAGATTTCACATACAAACATACACTAATTGAAGATTTCACACACACACACTAATTGAAGATTTCACACACACACAAAAAGACGAATTGAAGATTTCACACACACCAATTGAAGATTACTGACACACACACTAATTGAAGATTTCACACACACACACACACACTAATTGAAGATTTCACACACATACAAAAACACTAATTGAAGATTTCACACACACAATAATTGAAGATTTCACACACACAGACTAATTGAAGATTTCACACACACAGACTAATTGAAGATTTCACAAACACACTAATTGAAGATTTCACAGACACACACACACTGATTGTAGATTTCACACACACAAACTAATTGAAGATTTCACACACACACACTAATTGCAGATTTCACACACACTCACATTAATTGAAGACTTACACATACTCAGACTAATTGAAATCTTTACACACACACTAATTGAAGATTTCACACAAACACACTGAGTGAAGATTTCACATACAAACATACACTAATTGAAGATTTCACACACACACACTAATTGAAGATTTCACACACACACAGTAAGTGAAGATTTAACCCACACACACTAATTGAAGATTTCACACACATACAAAAACACTAATTGAAGATTTCACACTCACAGACTAATTGAAGATTACACACACCACATTCCAAATGAAGATTTCACACACACACTAAGTGAAGATTTCACACACACATTAAGTGAAACTTTCACACACACCCACATACACACAAGAAGTGAAGATTTCATATACAAATATTAAGTGAAGATTTCACACCGACACGAATTGAAGATTTCACACACACACACACTAATTGAAGATTTCAGACAAACACACTGTGTGAAGATTTCACATACAAACACACACTAATTGAAGATTTCACACACACACACACTAATTCAAGATTTCACACACACACACACTAAGTGAAGATTTCACACACACGCTAATTGAAGATTTCACACACACAGACTAATTGAAGATTTCACACACACACTAATTGAAGATTTCACACACACAGACTAATTGAAGATTTCACACACACACTAATCGAAGATTTTACACAAACACACTGAGTGAAGATTTCACATACAAACAAAAACACTAATTGACGATTTCACACACATACAAAAAGGCTAATTGAAGATTTCACACACACACAAATTCAAGATTTCACACACACACACACTAATTGAAGATTTCACACACACACACACTAATTGAAGATTTCACACACACACAAAAAGACGAATTGAAGATTTCACACACACCAATTGAAGATTACTGACACACACACTAATTGAAGATTTCACACACACACACACACACTAATTGAAGATTTCACACACATACAAAAACACTAATTGAAGATTTCACACACACACTAATTGAAGATTACACACACACCAATTGAAGATTACTGACACACACACTAATTGAAGATTTCACACACACAATAATTGAAGATTTCACACACACAGACTAATTGAAGATTTCACAC